TACAAGTGCGGTAGTCCGCGCAACGAGCGAGCGCAACAACGAGTCCGCGCAACGCCTCCAGCGCCTTCACACGCGCGAATGAGATCGTTATGCCTCCGCGCCGGCATAGCATTCAAGCAGGCCGCTGCCAGCCCAAGTGTCAAACGATGAGAAATCTTGATCGCCGAAGGAAGACACTCACTCTCGCATTTTCAATTTTGCACTCGCTCGAGTTCGCGACGCGCATCAGCAGAATTCGCGGAGAACTTGCGGAGAGTTTGTCGAGAGTGCGTTGCAGAGAGTTAGAGAGAGTTGCGGAGAGTTGCAGAGAGTGCGTTACAGAGAGTTGCAGAGAGAGTTCAATGGCCAAGTCGATTCCGCTGCGGATGGTCCCCTTGCGAGTGTTGCAGGTCGGATTGCGAGCATTTCAAGATGAGCTGATGTCGGTGAAGCTCGATTTCCTTCTATGGGGATGGAATTGGGTGTGCCCGGCGATGGTGTGGGAGTGTATGCGTGAGAAGAACCTGCCTCCACGAGGTTATCAACCGCACCCGGAGAGATGACAAGTGAGCGATTGAGAGCAGCTCTTGGGACGATGCGCGGGAGAAGAAGGCGATCTTCTGTTCGAATGCGAGAGTGTGCATGTCACGAAGGAAGAAGAAATTTCTTTCGGCGCACTTTTCAAGAACTGCAAGTCTAGCCATAACGGGTACGTGACTACAAAGACCGCAAGCGGAGGAATGTCGCGGTGGCACTCCTCCAGATTTTACAGCCGCACATGACCACCTACATAACATCTTGGCAGGTGGGATTTGTGGAGCTGGCGTTGGCAGGAACTCCGATTTATTGGGCTCGGATTTTGTGGAAGGCACGCAACAACACGCGCAAGAGTAGAAGGGAGTGTCGATCAATCACCTCTCCCATTTCTTGATCAATTTTTATCCGTCGATGGGGTGTCTGAGAGCAACGGAGCGGGTACAATTTCCCTTGCTGTCGCGAGCAAATCCGGGAAGGTATGTGAGGGATGTCGAGGTTGACACAAACCCCGACGAAGTGCCCGCCATCAGCTCGACCGAGAGCAGATGACGAACCGAGGGGAGCGCGGGCATCCCGGAAGCGGAAATGGGATGGAGATGTGGACCTAAGTCAGCGGGAGCTGCCCACTGCTCCAGTCAAGCGTCGGGCAAACAACGAGCCAGCTTGATCGAAGCAAAAAGCACGCAAACTAGTTCTGCTGGCGGACAGAAGCGCAGACACAGGGCGAGCCGCAATCACGGGAGACTCACCATCCTCGGAGGAGGATGTGAGTGCAGAAGTTCTTGGGAGGTCAACTGACCTTCCTGCACCGAAGGCACGAGTGTCTTTGGAGGAAGTGCGTAGGCTTTTGGGCCACAGAGGACGGCATGCGGCAACGGCCAAAATGCCTGCGATGGAGAGGTGCTTGCCTTCCGAGCAAGTACCATTTGATGACTCGCCTTCGGGTCAAGGGCTTTCGGCTCAGGAGCGGTGCAAGGAGGAGCCTTCGGCTCAACGGACTTCGGGTCAAGCGCATCTGGTGCACAAACCTCTGGAGCAAGTTGGAACGGACAAAGGCACGGATGGGGAGACACGTGTGCCTTCGACACAAGCACTTTCGGCGGTAGCAGTCCGGGCAAGTGCATGGTTTAGGGTTTAGGCTAAACCCTAAACCCTTCTCCCACCCTTTGGAAGTATTGACAGGACATGGAGTGGAGGCCATAGCAGAAGAAGCTGCGCGATCCAGCTCCAGAGAATCGCTGAGGATTTCTGCGGCGACAGAGATCCTGGAAATCAAAGACGACACGCCTTTGGAGGAGGAGAAAGTGGAGTCGGTGCGAGGTACACCGACCGGTGTGCTCTGCGAGCAGGTGGTACCACTACTCCGGTACCTTAATTGCAAGGCGACCAAGGACGCGGATCCCTGCCATCGTGGATCCTATGTTGAGCTGGTCAGGAATTGGACTCCGATCAAAGTAGCGATGAATCCCGAGTTAGAGGCCCTTGACGAGAAGTATCGGCAGCTAGAGGAGCGATGCAATTTCCTGCAGGAATAGTGTACCATTTCGCGGAAGCTGCAGAAGGCAGCGCTTCAGCTGCGAGATGATGTAGCGGCCAATGCGCATCGCGAAATTGAAGAGCTGCGTGCGAGGGTTGAGACGAAGATCAATTTCAAACGAGCTCAAAACCGTATTCTGGCAGAGGAGCTCGTGCGGTAGACGCGGCGTTAGAGAAGAGTGAGGCCGCGCGGAAGGCGGTCAAAGAATTACTGGATCGACTACAATCGCAGTGCGATGAATTGAGGGCGCAGCATGCGGAGGCGGAGTTACAGTTGGCAAAGGTTGAAGGCCACAACCGGCGCGCGACAGATCGCACGCGGTAGGAGTTAGTTTTGCAGGTTGACCAGTGTCTTAGAGGTTATGCTCGCTGGGAGATCGCGACGCGGGAGAAAATGACGTTGCGCGAAATGGAGATTAGTGCGGCAACTTTGATGTCTGGTGACAATCGGAGTCGGCGGCGCGTGGCAAAGCGGTTAGAGTCATTCCTGTCGAGGTCGTGGATCGCCATTGCGAACCTCGAGGCAGAGGTGACCGGGATGTTGCGGCGGCTCGGACTGCGTAGGAGAGCAGGATAGTGGACGGGTAGGGAGTTAGTGAGTAGTTGGCCTTTGCATAGGAGGCATAGCAGGTGAAGAGTAGAGTGTTAGGTAGTTAGGATCTTAGAGAGTACAAAGTAGTTCAAGGCGTTGGCCTTGGAGGATTTTCCAGTTTTGGATGTTCAATTCAGGATTCCGTTTTCTCTGCGCGTTTGTGTCTTTCGTTCTGTCACCGCGCAAGAGGAGCTATAGCTTGTCGACGTTACCGCATTTTGTAGCTGAAGGCCTTCGCCCGAATGTTCTGAGCTAGTGTAGTCTAGTCAGGATCTTCAAGTTCGGACTTACACCTTCGGACAATTTTTTCCTGTTTGTATTCATTCGAGATTTTCCCCCCGACTACCAAAGCGAAGTTTTGTTAACTTCGGAGTAAGCCTTGGTTGAATTCAGGTTGAGTGTGTTACCCTGCTTCAGGCGCCTTCGGGGTAGCCTTCGCAGTATTTCTGGGAATGATTAGTGCTTGAGAATTCAAACTTGTCAATAGACTGTTAAGTTGTAACACTCGGACTTTTCTCAACTTAGTTTCTCAATTCAGATTTCTGTACTCTCTGCGCGTTTTGTGAGTTGAGTGTGTTGTTCACCGCGTGAGAGGAACTTCGGTTTGACGAAGGTACCGCATCGGAAGTAGGAATTCCAACCCGAATGCTCTACACTAGCAGTGACTAGTGACAGGGTTGCAAATTCGGAGTTGGGTAACTACCTGCAGATCCTCTAAGTGTACTCTTGGGAGACTTTCCCCTGAATCTTAAGTGGAGGTCCTGACCGACCTCTGAGTTGTGTTTTTCCAGTTTCAGGTGTGTGTTGGGGTGTACTACGCTGCATTGTGTGTACTTCGAGTGACCTCCGAGTTGAGCACTTGCAGTATTTCTGGGAATGACTGTAGCCTGAGAATTCAAACTCCTTAATAGTATGTTAAAACTTGACATTTAGTACTCCGTGTGTTGCCACTGTCCTTGTGGATTCGACCCTTTGCTGTTATACTGCAATTTTAGCCTTTGATGGGTTATCACATGCATAGTAGCACAGTGTTGCCTGGATCTCTCCAAAGTATTAACTTTGGTTAACACATCAATTAGATTGAGTTTAACGTCAATCTTGACTAACTCAATCACGTGATCAAGAATTCCACAAGTATCGGAGCTTCTTCTTGATCATTAATCACATAATAATCAAACTCGTCCACAACCATATTCGTGAGCGGTTAAATTTCTCTTAACAATTTAGAATGCATAGAAACTCTCCCTATCTTTCAATGAGCAAGTTGTCATTGAAATAAACATTCATATTGACAAAAAATCTCACATGCTCTTGAATTCTATAGCTTATAACACTGCTTTTCCAAAACATGAATATCTAGTCATCTCAAATCCTCCAAACTATTGTGTTGTCATCTCAACTAGTCAAAAAATCACATACAAAATTTTCTTGCAAGGCAATTTTTCCATTTGGATCATCTATTAGCTCTTGAAAATGATCTAGAGGCTTTAGTTGCGTCAAGAGTTTTTCAACGATACCTAATTCGTTGATATTTTAACAAAAATTATTGTGGACAGAATATTTACAAATGAAATATTCTGTCACTGTCTTTCTCGAATGCTAGTTGATTGTGTTTTTATGCTGATCACGGTTGGTTGGACCAACCCTATTATGTGGTGTGTTTATAGAATATTTAAGATATTAAACTTAGTATTCTAAGTAGATAAATATATCTGAATCGATTATCTTGTAAAACCTTTGATCCAAAAATTTGATTAGTTCAAATACAAACGATATATAGCATATTCTCTCTGACTTTCATCTATGATATATTTATTGTAATAGAAATATCAAACATAAACTTCGGAAGGACCTCTATACGTCCGAGATCTCTAGACTGTTTCATAACAAGGTTACCATTTTAGCTCTGCATAATGTATAATTCTTGGAATCCACTTTTGTTCAAATGAAGTGAGTGAAATATCAATCACAATAGTACAGTAAATCTATGGATGTACAGGATTTCTGGTGGATTAAAAGATCAGAGGTATTGAGCTGAATTTCAGAACATCGAATCGGGTAAGCACAAAGTGTGCCACAAACCCAACAACCTTCTGAAACGCAAATGAATCCAATCTAATACCAAATTATGTGGAAGGAACATACTATACGCACCCCCATAGAAAGAGACTTCATCAGTCACGCTATCAACGCTAATCCTGTTGACTGAACAAGTACATGACAAAGAAACATTCTCTTTTCCCCACTATAATCAGGGATTTCTCTTAACCTTTGAATGGATCTTACTGCTGAATATTACGAGCTTGCAGAACAATAAATATAGGATCAGGACCTTTTTCATAGCCCTCAGATTCATTTCAAAAGGGCTTCAACGTACGTACAAGCAGTTGGAGTGTTATATCTTGATGACAGCTCTATCAGCAGTCTAAATATAATGGCTCATAGTTATAATGCTCGACAACAGTTAGAGTTCTTCCTGCTGCTTGGCATTGTGGCGTCCTTCTGGTTCATAACGTCATCTCATGCCTCATCTACGTGCGTTTACTCGTAATCTCATTCAAGTTTTTGAGTCATATGGCGTAGTATAGCTGAGAACTTCTAGATTCGTGTGTGTAATGTTGTGCAAGTCAATCATCTCATAATGATGCTTTGCCAACATTCCAGCTATGCGCCTTGGAGCATATTCGCTTACTCAATCCTAGTAAAAGAACAAGAACCTCACCAGAACCTCACCAGAACCTCTGTCCACTTGTTCGTAATAGTTGTGGAGAATCATCGTGTTCATGAGCTGAATTCCGTCAAATGTTTGTGAAGGGGAGCTATCTCTAACCTCACCTGAATACGTCAGTCAGTAGTTGGCATGTTTCGGTCCTGACGTCTGGTGTTACTTCTGCAGAAAGAAAGCCAAGCCATCTCCTGGTCTCGACATCAGCAAAGGCAATCCCATCGATGACTGCTGGTATCGGGGCCAGAAGTGGCTACACAATCGTCAAAAATTAGCAGCATGCGGTATTGGCTTCGGTGCAGATGCACAGGGTGGGAAGGGAGGCTCCATATATGAGGTCACATCTGCCGAGGATGATCCTGCTTCACCGAAAGAAGGAACATTACGACACGCTGTAACTCAGGCCAATCCTCTGTGGATTGTGTTCCAAGCTGATATGACCTTCGTACTCAAAGAAGAGCTTATAATCAGCAGCTACAAGACGATTGACGCAAGAGGAGCCCAAATCCTCTTCAATGGCTCTTGGGGCATCGTTGTGCAGTCCGTAACCCATGTTATAATTCACGGCATTCATGTAACCGGTTGTCAGCGACCACCGGGCTATTTCTCGGCTAACTACAGCAGAATGCCGAAGAGATCCGAATTTGACGGAGATGGTATTAAGATTATAGACTCCCAACACATCTGGGTAGATCACTGCAGAATTTCCTACTGTGCGGACGGCCTCTTAGACGTGACTGTGTCTTCAAACTACATCAGTGTCACAAACAACTATTTTGAGCATAACCGAAAGGTAATGACTATTCTACTCAGAATCGAACAAAGTCTTCTAATGGTTCTTCCCTACTTACTGAACCTCTTATCCTTTGCTAAATCCAGGCTACTAACGTCTGTCATATCTGAATCAGGTCATGCTGATGGGACACAGCCCTTCATGGGTGGCCGATAAACAGATGCAGGCGACCGTCGCTTTCAATTATTTCGGAGAGGGAGCCATGGAACGCATGCCCAGGTAATGTTTCTCGTGTAGCCAGCGCTCACAAAATTCAATCAGTTCCATGAATGAATGCTACATGAAGATTTAATAGTGCTGGTATACATTTCTGGTTCACATGATGCATAAGTAAATGAGCGGACATTGATGTCTCAAGAGGGGAAAATTTTTCTCAATATAGGGGCAGGAGGTTGAAACTTCTGGTGTCTGTTTTGATAGGTGTAGATATGGAAACTTTCATGTGGTGAATAATTATTATTGGGAATGGGGTGTATACGCAATCGGAGGCAGTTCTGCTCCAACCATCTTCAGCGAGGGAAACTATTTTATAGCTGGGAATGCAAAACAGGTCACAAGACGGATGGACAATTCTTCAGGAAATTGGTGTTCTGTGAATGACATCTTTCTGAACGGTGCTTACTTCATAAGCTCCGGCGAGCCTAAGAACTCCACTGCATACGATCTAGCCAAGAGTTTCAAAGCTTTAGCTTCTCATCGGATTCCAAAGATTACTTCTCACTCTGGTCCTCTCCAGCTGCTTTAGAGAATCTCACGATCTTCTCCTTCAAATGCAAAAATCACGTGATCTTTCGAGATGTATGAAAGCCTGGCCGATCAGCTCAAGATGTTATCTTTCCCAAAACTTCATCAAGAATCCTCGATATCACAAGCTCGTAGCTTACTGAGCTCTTCTTCTCTCTAACTCTGTAGGCATCTGATAAAGTAACTAGTTACTTCTGAGTTACACTTAAAACACGCAATCGGTGCTTCCACCAGTAAAGCATGAGAATGCACATGATCTACAGATTATGGCCGGAAATCTTGCTCATGTATCATTCTCGTGCAAGTGAATTGAAGTCACGGAACTGACATTGTTCAATTTGTGAACTAAGCTTTCGCCATATCCAATCGGATACTCATGTAAAGGATGAGGAAAAGGAAGATTTAATATGAAGATCATAACGCATCTAGACGATGCAAATGGTTGAGTAACTGGTTTAAAAATGGCCAATCTTGTGGACTAGTGGCAAATGTCCCCACTTTGAAGACTCTTTTGAATTTGTGTATTTGCGGGAGCCAATCTCATCACCACGATTTATGTCCTGTCCGAAGAAACCGGAAGAACATGCGAGGACCGAAATTGATTGGCCTAGAGACTACGACACTCTTTCACGAGAAGCCAAGCATCGCAGCGGTTGGGACGAGCAGCCAGCAGCGTGTCCCTTTTATTCCTCGAGCTTCATGAAATCTGGCACTCTCCAGCATGCAATGCGTGTCAGGGAGTCCCGGGAGTCCACCACTCGGGTGTCTGATTCTCGTGAAATTTTTAGCTTTTGTGTGACTCGTCCATCTCACCATCTCCCTCTCTCCCTCTCTCCCTTCCTTCCTCTCTGTTCTGCAACTCCCTTCCCTCAGATCCTTGTTTGGCCTCGAGTATCCATCTGTAATCCGCCCCAAGAATCATTTTTGTCGGCTACGTAGATTTTGCCACTTGGATGCTTCGCACCTCTGCAGTTTGTGTCCGATGCGAGACCTGCACATCCATTAGCTTCCCTGTGTTGACATTCAAATTCAGAATGATGTCCAATCCTTGAGTTTCATGAGAAAATCATCTCTGCTAGCAATCCCTTATCGACTGTCTACGATCCAAGCCTTTGGTGTCGACTGCAAAAGGACTATCACGTGGATCCAGTGACAGAGTGCGTACATTCTTGAAGAAACTGATGTTGCTCCCTGTGCTGAGTTCTCTCTCTCACTGAGAATGTCAAGCTCTTACCGCTTCCCTCCCAATCACAGACGCGCGTGCGCACCCAGACGCGCAATGCTAGTGGACATTCCATACGATCCAGGTGACTCCGATCTGATTCACATGTCGCCCACGTATCGTAGACCAATCTACCCCGAGGACCGCAAGCTGCGCCCAGAGCTGCTGCGACCTGCAGGGCTACCCAATCCGATCTTCTACCCGTACCAGAGAATCAATTTCGAGAATCTCGGATACGCCCGACGCGTTGCGCGTCGCCGCACTCACCCCACGCTGCAGCAGAATCTCAGTTACGTGGGTCCTCGATACGTCTTGCCTCTCAATCCAAACAGACGATTCCCTCGCCTTCATCACGATCCTCGAACTTATCCTAGATACCACCGATGGGGATGATGATGGCTCTTGATCCAATTTGCATCGACTTGATTTGCTATCATGATCAGACGGACGCCTTCTCCTTACCTCGAATGATCAGTGAGTGCATCATCTGTTCATGGCATAATCTTCCTTTTCCTTGGCCGATCACAAGCCCAGACCTCCCTCCCTCCCTCCCTCGAATGACTAGTTCAGTTCCTTCCTCTAGTGTCCAATCTTTGCTCAACAAGAATGAATGTGTGCGAATCTAGATCCGATGATCTGTGGCATCTGAGTGCATCGTCGTCGCCGGGAACATTCGATTTCGTTCGTCATGAGTCCGATTGCCTGTGCAAGGGAATGAGTGGGACCACGAGATTTCGTTCCTCATGCGCACTGCCGATCATTCTCTGCTTTCTAGAGCTTAGCGCCCGGCGGAGTCGGAGGATCAAAATCGGGTTTTCTGTCGTCGAATGAGATTGGGAAGAACTCTGAGAAAGGGGCAGCGGCTTTGTTTAGAGATGAGATTCGGAGGATTGAGTAGGGGACGATGAAACTGCTCTCGAGCTCTCGACGTTTGTGACGGCGGCGGCGGCAGAAGTGTCATCGTCATGCGGGGGCGAGAATTCCTGCAGAAGAAGATCATTTAAATTTGTAGAATTTCCGAAAAGGATGTACCATAGACACATTGACATTGGCCTTGTGGATCTACGGAAGTTTAGCCTAAAGATCCCAAGAGGAAAGACCTCGGACTTGTCTAGGCTGAGATTCTAGGCAAGATAGATCAGATCTCTAGAGGCTTGTTTTAAATTGGGTTCGTGTGGACAAAGAGTAGGAAACGAGTATCCTGTCAGCCACCCTCGCAGGAATCGTCAGATTAGTTAGAGGGATCGAATCTGGGGGAGAGATCGGAATTCTGGATCAAAGCGAATCGGGAGCTTCTCCACCGATCGACGTCGAAGCCATCCGGAAGAGGTACGTGCCGAGCTCAGCCGTTTATTTCAGCTTATTGCTTTTCATTTCAGTTTCTTCCTAACTTTTCAGGTATGATCAATTCTGCATCGACCGAAGAGGATGTACGAGAGTGACGATCGCCCTCACTGCCGCCTACTCCTCAGAAGAAAAATCTGAGATCGCAGGAGAAAAACTCGCAACGTACGTCGCAAAATTGCTTCCGGCTATTATCAGGCGCATTGCTCTCTTGTTTCTTTTGTTCGAGACTCTTCACTCCCCGTTGCCGGAGGATTTGAAACTCTAGGACCTACAGTCGTATGCCAGAAAACAAAGGCACCTGTACAAATCCATTCTTTTAATACGAGAAGCAAACCGATCCCCAGACGGATCTGCGTGGCCTTTTGGAAACTGACAATTGAGGATCGTTGCATTACTGGCCATGAAATGGTAGGTTTAATAAACTCTTATGTTTGGTTGTGGGTACCTTGAGATGTATAAACTCAAATGCATTTGTACATTTCTGAGTGCAATCTGCAACCAGTCGATGGGCTTGACACCTATATTAAAGTCCGTAACTTCAGTGAACCTGATATACGAGCATAAAGGGCTGTCATCCTTGAATTCAGTGTCATCACAATGCAGTCAATTTGCTGAATTCTTAATCTCGTGCATTCAATCCTAGCCAATCCTAGTTCCCATTCCTGTACCCAAAACTCTTCAGAGTAGAAGAAATCTAAGCTACTGTAATTATAATCATTACTGAGCTTCCCGATGACCACATGCGGCGTCAGAGTGTCCGTGATGTCTGCAAAGACCAACTGCACGGTCCACTCTGTCTTCTCTTTTATGATTCGAAACTGTGAAGCCAGAGTGATGTCCCTGCGCCGATGCTTAAATCGAACAGTGACGAAGAATCAGTCTTAGAAAGCCGCTGGTTGGGTCCAGCACTCATTCCATTTGGACCTCTTCCATGAGTAGACTCTCCTCGTTACTGGTATCGTTAGTGACGCCACTTGTGGGACAGAAGATTACTTCGTAGTTTGTTCCTGTCGGACAGGCAAACACAGACGTATCGTCGTCGAAGTTGTAGCTGTAAGCATCAGGACAAGCATTCTTGAAGATCCGGGTGCCGTCGGTGGGTCCTCTCTCTGCAAGCCCATCGGTGTTTTGGCAGACCAGGGCGCCAGTAGGGAATTGGATCAGCTTGTTGTTCCCTTTGCAGAACCCTCTGCAATGAAACTGCCACATGTGAGTCCAAAACTGCAACCGACTCAGCGCCACTAAATCTTTGAACAGAGAACCTCTAACCGCAACCGCTTAGGACACACCATCTTCTCCTCGAGAGATGAGTCCAAAGCTCATTTGATACAGTCTCGGTGTTGGAGACAACAATCGAGCCTTCAATTTTCTTCACTTACAGTTCAATATTGATTGGTCCAAAAATTCATAGATCGTCTATCAGTAATGGCATCCAATTTTAAGTGCAATGAGTCTCGGGGCAAGGACCTGATGTCGTTGATGATGCACTTAGGAGAACCACATTGACGACCACTGGGCTGCTGGCTGGGGTTGGTAGGCCTGATCATCATGGGCAAGGTGAATGCCACCTGCAAAACACACAGTCTACCGCTCTTAAATCTTTAACAAATGTTCTATTCTGTTCGCAGCAAATCAAGGAGACTTAGACGTTTTCTGGGCCACTCCTGGTCCAGAATCTTCAGTGAAGTTAAAGTGGACGGACCCTCGGGAAACTAATTAGCTTCGTACCGATGAACTTACTGCTCGCTGGCTCTTCAAATTGATCACAGCAGATTTGAGTTCGAGGTCTCGGCTTACCAACACGCACAATAAAAGATGATAGATTGCTGCGACTCCGAAGGAAGAAACAAGGAATCGGATGCGTACCACGTTGCTGACGTCGTAGTAGTCGAGGCCATTGGCGTTGAGGTTGAGCTCGGCCCAGTTTGTGACGTCCCAGTCGTTGGCCTCGTTCGGCACGAAAGCACTCTCGCACTTCCCTCTGACTGAGGGCCAAACCGCTCCGTTGCGCCACACGCAAGAGCTGCCGAAGTCCAAATATTGGGATTGTCCGGCTCCTAGATTGTATTGATTGAGCTTACCTTTGAATTGTTGGTCGCGATTAGACTGGGCACATGTCGTGACAGTGTAAGGGCATCGATTAATGATGTTGATCCCACATCCTGGAAGATGAACAGCATCCCACAAGTCTCTGTTCAAAATGCAATCCCACTCACTAAAACACTTCGACTCTGATCGACGAATGGACTAAGATTGTCACGTCCTCGTGGCTCTGCACCGATCAAGGACTCCTCGTATGCACAGATCGACTGATTGCCAAGCACGTTGTTTTCTAGTTAATCAATCGGTTCTGCCGTCTAGAAATGCGCACTGTCTGCCTATGGATCTTGACAACCCGGAAAATCAATGGAATCGAAAATCCTGGTGATGAGATGGTCATCTGAGACCATCAACTATTGAACAGAGTGTAGGATTGTCATCATTTCCACATCTGAACTTAGCACAGAAAAACAAAAAGTATGAACTCCTGACCGAAAATATGCTCGAATCAAAGCCTAAAGGTTGAAATACACGAAGACCCTTCCTCTGAGACAGAATCCCTTGTGTGCAAATAATACTTAATAAATAAGCAGACCTAATTATTTCTATCATCACATAAGAACTTTGATTCAACCTGCACGTCTTAAGAGAGAGACCAAAAGTCTGGGCTACGAGGCTGGGATCTGAGTATGATGCGCAGCTCTATGACAATCCAGGTTAGCATGTATGATCTATTACAAGACGCTGTCGCTAGATAGGCAGCATAATCAACTGGATTACTAATTTGACACCAGCTACATTATTAAGCAAGCTCCGGGAGTGTGACAGATAATTGTACCGAAGACGTGAGTCAGCAGACTTGCCCAAACCACAAAAGTTGTGATGCTACGGGAGGTCGACATCTTCGTGGAACTCGAAACCACTAACTGGACTGACGATGATAGCACGCACCTGTTTGCTACTTGTACTCTCGCTCTCGGTGGTACTCAAAAAGTCACTATCATCCACAAAGTCCTCGGCACAGTGGTCTCCAAGGAGGACCTGCAAGGTGGAAGGTGGAAGTCCTCCTCATGGGTCCGTGGGATGGGTGAGATAAAGCGACTTTCCAGTATCCACATCTGACTGTTTTAAATTCATTCCCTCTCATACGGATATGCCAGAGAATCTGAAGAGACAGAACAGAGTTGAGATTCCTTTTGCATGTATAATACAAAGTCAGTCACTCCGTCATCACACTCCCTTGATAGAGATAGATAGATGATGGAGATGTTGACGCATATCACTTCGGCCGGCTCAGCTGCTTCTCCTTCGCCCACAATTTTCTTCGGCGACGTGAACATCAGTTCCTGCGAAGGACTTTATCCTTCAGCACGGACTTAGAACTACACCCAGGCTTCAACATTTACAGCACGGAGAAAGCAGAAATGACTTGCTTCGACACCGGTTACTTCCTCGTTTTACTTAAAATTGCTTCCAAATGTTTTAATTATTTTATTATATTTGAAGAAGAATATCTTAGTTCATAAATTTTCAATCCTTTTGTAATATTTCTACACATTGTAAATTATACAATACCTGTTTGTATTTCAAAGAAAAGAAAGAAGTTTTTTCTTCCTAATAATATACGTGACTAGCCCAAGGCTTGATTGCACTACCTGTACTTTTTGGTATCTTCTGGGCCCCCATTTCGTGGACTACCCAATTCCGAAGTGAAAGGTCGGAATGGAAAGTCCACTTGCTTCAACACAAGATTGACTGCTACGAGGATCGTAAGAATTCGTCGCCATCAGCTCTGACTTGAACAGAAGGACCAATTTCCGGACAGACACGTGTTTTCGGGTTTCCTGTTTCAGTAGAGACTCCGCGATGGAGGTCCCTCGTCAACGGGGAGCCTGAAGAAATTGGAAGGGAGCCTGAGGGTTTATATTATTCCTAGACCAGAGCGTCGGATGCTAAACTCTTCGGTATCTTCTCTTGCATCTTGTCAATGACTTTGTCACGATCTCTCAATTGCTTGCCCACTGTCATCACTTTTGCCATTTTTTTTCTTAACATCTGGATTAACAAAGCTTCCTTCCACTCACTTTCACTTCCAGATCCAAACTTTTCAATGCCAATCTGTTCTGATTCTTGTGAGCTCCTCTTGTGGTTCCACGTTTTATTAACTCGTACTCGGCATTTGCAGTACATGTAATCCAACTATCTGTATTCTTAGTCATCCTGATTCCTAACGAACTAAGTATATCCAGGAAAACCAAAACTCCTGACAAAAATCCCACAATGCCCCTACACAGGTTCTTCAATTCGATAGATACGAATCATATTCTGGTGATCCCCTTTGAATTTCAAAACGCACCTATTACAGTGAAAAACATGTAGTATGTAAAGAGAACACACACCTATAAAAAGATCATGAAGGATTTTATAAAAAATATACTTAATATATCTAAGAATAATAAGATTTGAACAGGTGTCAACTATAATTAATTTTCTAAAACTCAATGTATAAAACTTTAAAAAATTTCAAAACAATTTTTAAAAACAAATCCAAGTCAATTTCGGAAAAAAAATCTAATTTAATTTTCAGAAATAAGCTCAATTCAATTAAAAAAAATCAAATCATTTAAATTTTAGGATCATAAATTCAATAAAAAATTTAACTAAATCAATTCAATTCTCAAGATTGATCCAATTCAATTTATGAAAGTAATTCAATTCAATTCTAAAAATTTATTCAATTCAGTTCATAAAAATTAATTAATTTCAATTTTTAGGAAAAAAATTAAATTTTAATCTTTAAAATTAAATTTAAATCTGAAAAGTAAACAAACTCCATTAAATTCTAAAAAAAAATCAATCTGATTCTAAAATTTGATTCGATTCAGTCCTAGAAAATTAATCTAATTCAATTCTAAAAATGAAATCAATTCAAATCTAAAAATTAATTCAATCCAAACTTTGTTTTTAAATTACAGAAATTGTATTTCTCTGAACGTAGGACATTTTCCCGTCTTGAAAGTACAAAAAAAATTTAATATCATGTGCTTCGGACTTCATTGTTATTTATAAATACGAAAATCATTAAATAAAAAAAGACTAGATTTTGAAATTTAAATTTATGGATGACACATAGATATTAAAATAGGTATAGGAAAAAAATCAATTTCTGTTATGAGTATCTTCACCATTTCACAACATAATTTCTGGTTATTTTCATAATAATGCTTATTTTCACAAACAATAATTTTTGAAAATGCTTATTTATGTAATGTCCTACCAAATTAATTAGCACAAAATGAATCTATAATGAATGAGTATTTCAAACCAATTTGATTTCGTTTCTGATTTTTTTAAGTTTCATTTCTGATTACTGATTTTCCAATTGTCATTAGGACAATGTAACATTAATGAGAATCACGTTTTCTAAGATTTTAATTCTCCTACTTCAATACAATATTTTTGATTTATGAAAAGATCTTGAAACTCCACTCTTAAGTGTCTAAAATCCTGGCTAAACAAGTTGCATCCTTTGAAGCATACAGAACAAGTTGTATATTTTGTAGAAATATCTTACTTACATAAAAAATTTATATATCAACAAAGAATAAAGAAAGAATTGACCTGAAATTTTTAACGTAAATTATTTCAACTATTAACTTGTCTATGTATTATTCATCAAGCTATTTTAGAATCAAAACAAAAAGGGATAGGGATCAAAATGAATGACTTCAAGTCTTTTCCTGACTTCCATAATAGGCTTGAAAAGTCTAAAGAAGTGTCAAAATTAATTTTTTTAATGAAATAAAATTACCTTAACATTAACATTGAAATAATTTTTTTTCTATAATTATATCTGCAAATAGTTAAACATTTTACTTTGAGTGAAATATTTATTTTAATTATTTTTGACCAATAATCATCAATATTTATATATATTTCGTTACAAAATTTAATTCTATGTTAATTACAAAATCATTACAAATTCATTACAAAAACACATCACTATAATCTATATTATATATTCATATAGACATTTGAAGATCATTCAATATACTAATGATTATCTGATATTCAACTTAAACTTGAAATGATGGTTCTAGTTTCTATATAGTTCAAGAATAGAGTACATACTCTAATGTTCACATTTTGTTTTTTCAACATTAGAGTATATTGTCCTGAATATAGTAGTTTTTAATAATATACATATATATATATATATATAAATAATAGAAATCCATCTGTACGAAAATGGATTTAACTATTCCCTACCAAAGAATTTAATTTTCCACTGTTCAACTTGAAAATCGTAATCCACAGTCTATATCATGGATGTATTATAATGCCTGAAAATCTGGAAAGGATCTTTTTATGACTTCAGTTTTTCACAGCAATCTGTTCAACGCTTATGTGCAAGTCAGTATATCTAAATATTACGAAAGTGTTATCACAAGCAGCAAAAATCGTCCATATTCGATTTCTGATTTGATTCAGATAACACAAAGGCAGTCAAGTGGAAAAATGATGAGAAGAACATCCATCAAGCCGGATCCGGAGAAAAAAAAAGAGGAAATGAAAGGGCTAGCCCTGACAATAACAAGATTATTAAAAAAGCACTTGAAGATGATTAGGGACCTTTCGAGCGCCATATCCTATATCTCTACCACTGCAAGTATTCGCAATCTCTCAATACAGCCAAAATTGGACTCATCGGATTCAAACCCTATTCTGATCACAAACCAAAGTCTGCACATCCTCTTAACTCTTCATAATCATCACTTGAAATTTTTGTCTCAAAACAGGTTTGGTTTATTTAATGTTTTAAATACCATTCTATTGGTTGCAGTTGGCTCGCCTATAGCTGTTTCCAATGTAGTATGTATTAATCTAATAATTAACAATGTTACTTACATTTGCCAGATCTACCGGATCCTAGAGTTCACCTCTAGCATAATTCATTTGATGAAACCTTTTGGCATATAGAGGTCTCATTACGGCTAGAGCGTCTTTTTACTATAAATATAAATTAAATCATATGAATATAATAAATAGCCATTACATAATATCTCAAAGATCATCATCATATCACCCACCATTTTACGTCTAGATCATAACATATACATAATTTATCAACAGACTAGAAGAATATGATTAACAAGTACATCCATGGGATATCTCCTCTTTGATTTAAATCGCTTCAAATTGACAACAGCTAGAGCTCAACTTTAGCTGTTTTCAATTTATTATATAGAAATTGAATAATAGATAATTTTACATATTTTTACCAAATCTATCGAAACTCCAGTAATATATAGACCCCACTGAAGCTCATATATATATATATATATATTAAAATCTTATTATAAAAAATGTAATTTTTGTCACATTCAATCAGAACCGGCTACAATTTTGTGTTCGGTCGAGTCTCCATATCGGTCACGTTCCTAATTCACAGCCAGAGTCTCTACGTATCGTAACGTAGTAGAATTGCTGGTGGAAATGAACTGTCGTTGGTGTACTTGAAATTTAAATCTACTCACTCCGATAGCGAGAGGGAAGCAGGTAGACGAACAAGAGATCGATCTTTCGATCGACTTACATCTACACCGTACGTAGTTCCTATTATCGACAAAGCAAAGTTGCGGCAAGCTGGTTTTTCGATCTTATGTCGTAACTCTCACAGGATGAATCGGCCGCAGCTTCTCAGAATGACACGAACAGCTTCTCCTATGCCATGTCATGGATGGAAGCTCATTAGTGTTACCAGCTTGTCCGGACGGACAAGCTGGTAACACTAATGAGCTTTCATCAATTAGCTTCGATCGACTCTTGCAATTTATAGTCACCGAGAAATTTCTAGACGCAACATTTCCCGCGTGTGAGGCATCTCCACCGGAGAAGGGAGTGAGCCAAGGAGAGATCGAAAGCAGCTCCGCTGCGGCCGAAGGCACTCCTTCGACCGCCAGAAGCTGGCCGCTTCGAATGTCTGCAGGCGCACGAGCAAGAAATCGTCGAATTCCGCATCGCGAGCCTTATGTTGCATTCGTTGATGGTTCGGTGGGCGTGACGTATTTTCATCGCGTCGCTCGTGCAACATTTGGAAGCTATGCTCTCGGCGTGGATAGGGTTCGGAGGGACAATTGTGCGACGAAAGCTTGCAGGAGAGGAGTGAATGCGTCGAGCCTGGGGAAGAACGCCGTGAGATTGTGATTTTACTGTCTTCTACGAGGATGTCAGAGGGAAGTGAATGGCTTTCGGAGGATTCCATATCGGTAACCTCGCCGAAGAAGCAGCGTAAAGACTACGTCGATCGTGGCAGCGTCGAGTACATTTACGGGCACATCACAAGCCGGAAGCGCGGGCTGATTAGGGCCTTGACGACCGAGTTCGATGAGTTTTTCAGGAAATGCTATCCTGCTGCTGAAGCTTTATGCCTCTACGGTCTGCCGAATTCAACATGGGAGGTCAGACCTCCGGATGAGCAGGTGCCGACAGACTTGCCCGAGCCTGTGCTCGGAATCAACTTCTGTCGGGATGGCATGACCAAATTAAAATGGGTGAGATTCATCGCCCTCCACTCCGATGCTTGGATTTGGAGCCTGGCGGGCTTTTACGCAGCCGACCTCAAAAGAGACCGAAGGATACGGCTCTACAGCATGCTGAACGAGATGCCCACCATCTTTGATATCGTCACAGAAAAGGACGGCAATACAACCACAGCGGCTGGAATCATTGCCAACGGCACGGGCGTGCAATTCGAGCAAAGGCCCAATTTCGCGTCCACCCCCAATTTCGCGTCCACCGATTCTCAGTCTACCGGCCCATCTACTAGCTCATATCAACCAGTCGAATTACTGCACCTGTTCAAGTAGTAGTAGACTTTGGTGGTCTTCTCTTTTTTTCACTATCACCAACTTGCAAATCTACGGGCCTGTCGAGTGTATACGTGTCCCGGATGTATATATGGCTGTCGTTGGCTGATGCAGATGAAGGAAATTTTTGTTTAATGCTATTTGCAAGACGATGATCATGGCAGTAAAATTTGGTTATGGCCATGGGTGTTAGAGTGAGAGATACGCTATTCTTATATTTCCCTTCTTTCTTTCTTTTCTCCCCCTGATGAAAACATTTGTTACGTATGTTCACAGAGCTTCTCTCATGTCCTGAGAAGCTGTGGTGTTTTTTTTTGTGGAGAATAATAGTCTCAGTTTTGCCACTCGTATCAAGTATAATAATTTCTCGTCTCATGATTGTCGTATGAAGAACAAAGCATGCTCACGCTTGTCGAATAAATGACCGGAGCCTGTTTTGCTGTTCCAGCTGTGAAGATCTCTTATATCACGTGTCGAGTAGGGGTGATCTTGAAATCTCTCTCAATAACAACAACACTGCGCCGTGCTGCCACACATTCAGATCATTGTATTAGCTACGGGTTGGAAATACATAATCTGCGATTTCGCAGATTATGTATTTCCACAGATTATGTATTTCCATCCAGTAGCTAATACAAATCAATCCATCCATTCCATCGTACACGCAAGGAATGAGTAATAGCATCTGCAATGATTAATCTATGCGGCTTTGAAGAGTCCAAACAGCCAGCCGATGAAACTGAGTGGGAAGTGGTTTCATTGGATTTGCCATTGTACTCGTGCAACGAGTTTTAGGGCCCAATACTAAAGAAGACCAGGGTTCGCTATGGTTTGCAGGCGCTTTTAAGCTCTACTCGACTTCGGTCCTTGGGGGCTTCATTGAATGAGTAGATGATGGCTGTAGAGGGTGGAAAATTAGGTCAATATGTTCAAATCGTCATGACCAGTTAGATTCTCAATGCTTCGTACCGGCCAGGTCAATGTTTCAGAATATCACGTGCGAGCATAGATGAGATTGATCCGAATTTTGTAATTTGTTCCTCACGAATGACAGAAGCAGATAAGTCTTGATATCCTCATGTGTCGAAGTACGATTCATGTGCTGTATGGCCAGATCATTATCTGAATCTAAAAGGCAAGATCTGTTGGCCGGATGTATATCATTATTCAATATACGTAAGTTGCATTCTTCAAGACTTTTTTTTTCTACAACATTTCTGATAATGTTTAGTGGATTTGACGCGGTAGCTCGTGTAGCGCATCTAATACCTTACACAAAATATTTTATCAGATTTTACAATGAACAGACCTTGGGAAAAACTGTGTAAACAGCTTCTTCTAAGAACTTCCGAACACAGATACTGCATTACTCGTACACTGAGTGACGTTACTGACTACAATTTGAATGCATTTATGTGAAGATGGGAAGATCTCAGTGATAACTCAGAGACATCAGATGAAAAATGGGTCATCACCACAACGTTCTGCAATAGGTCAAATAGTGTAACCATTCTCAATATCAAAACTAAACTGTGACGAATGAGTTTTATTTCTCCTCCCCTAAATCGAAAACCATCTTGTTGCAGGAGGTAGTTGTCTTGAACCGTACTGCAGCTATGGTGTTCACAGTCTTTTCAATCGACTGCATATGAAAGTTTCTCTTCATCAGAGCAACTTTCAGTGTTATTGCAGTTTCATGTTCGTAACTTCTCTTACGGACACCATATCACTTCGTAATTAGTTCCTGTCGGACAGGCATACACAGAGGTGGCATCGTCATAATTGTAGCTGTATGCATTTGGACAAGCATTCTTGAACACACGCGTTCCGTCAGTCGGTCCTCGCTCAGCAAGTCCATCGGTGTTTTGACAAGTGTATGCGCCTGTAGGCCATGTGATCAACTTGTTGTTTCCTGTGCAGAATGATCTGCATGCAACATGGCCACAACCAGATTAATATTCACGTGCATACAGAAGAACTAACTCGACTATGCTGGAAGTGTGAGTTCTACTCATATATCTCTATACAGTACCAAACAAATGTGAGTGTTGAATTTTGATGATATGAATGGCGTACAGGTAGGAATGGTTAGATATCATCGATCGGATGAAGATGAGTTAAGATCCACGAGTTAATTTTTAATTTTTTCGAAAGCTGTGTTCTATCAGACTCTAAATCTCTGTCGCCTCGTGACTTTAACTGGGTCGAGATATACTGCACAAAGTATAGCAAAGCATCATAGCTGAAGCAAGTTTGAATATCTGGGTAGGACGTCAGGGTGAAAGGAAGAGGGCTCACGGAATGTTATTGATAATGCATTGAGGAGATCCGCATGAACGTCCATTCGGTGTATTAGCTGGATTTGTTGGTCTGATTCTCATGGATAGAGTAAACGCCACCTGGAAAACCAAAAACATTTAAGACAAATTTGGAAGAGCTTGAGCAGATTTGGTCGCAAGAATTCAAGAAGCTTTGATCGGCGAGATGACCGACCGCTGATTCTTCCCACATATATTGAGCACATGTCAACCATCTCACTCGCAGTCTCTTCCTTTTCTTACCCCGTCTGATGTGACCTTCTCTATTGACGTGCGTTCTTTTCTTATATTACTGTCAAGTATCATAACAAAAATTCTTCCCCATAAGAATCCATGACACTAATAGTGCACCCAACGAGGCAGGTTATGGATCCAGCTCTGATATGAAATTGATATCTTGGCAGCACTTTCGAAGTGCTCAATTTGCACATGATCTACGGATAGATATACAATCGTTTCCCTGCGAATTTCCCTTCTGCGCGTTTTATTCGTTATTCCTTCATGACTTTCAGCACTGTTTCGTGGACTAGAGTGACTCAACTCCAGGAAACGGGTCGTCAGGATTGGACCTGAAGCTAACAAGGAGGACAAAATTCACGCGCGAAGTTCAAGCCGATGAGATGGACTATCTCTGTGATGAAGATCGTGATGTACACAATCTATCGATCGCTTGGACCGAGACTGTGCGTGTCAAGGAAAGGGTAAGCAGGTGTACGTACCACGTTGCTGACGTCATAATAATCCAAGCCGCCCTGGTTCAGGTTGAACTCGGCATAATCTGTAACATCAAAATCGTTGGCCTCGTTGGGAACGATGGAGCTCTCGCATTTTCCCCTGGGTGAAGGCCAAATCGCACCATTGTTCCAGTTGCAGCTGCTGCCGAAGTCCATGAATTGGCTCTGTCCGGCACCTAAGTTGAACTGCTGCATTCGAGTCTTGGTTTGTCCGGGAGCACGGTTCGCTTGGGCACATGTCGTCACACTATAAGAGCAGCGATTGATGATGTTGATACCACAGCCTGCAAAAGACAACCGGTCAACTGTCGCACGTATATCGCACAGTATGCATGCTCTGGAATCTCATCCTCACGAGCCGAATAACGAAATGACGACGCTATGCTTTGACATTTTATGGTATGCATTCATTCCATCTTACAAGATGGCTTATGATTCTAAAGAATTCACAACAACTGTATGGACCCGGACACACATTCAAAGAAATTCTGACCACGTAGAGAATCAGCTCAAAACAGGAAAGGTATGGACTGAATTGGAGGTCTAGAACCAGATGCATTGATATTATACATGTTGTAAGATCGGCTCATCGCCTGACCGGGAGAGACTCTATTGAATTCTACAGTACCAGCGGCTGGAGGAAAACAAAGTACCCTCTTAGATCTTTCAGCGGAGGAGTGCTTGACATCATTCAGATTGTGTTGTCTCTATCGTCTGAATACGATCTTAAGAGCAGCATAACGTGTTATGGGTTATGGGCAATAAGTAATCCTGATGATGAAAGACAGTGGTGAGCGAAAATTATCTACTGAGTGCAAAGATGGAGAGATTACCGAAAGCATGGCCCAACAGAGTGGCCCAGATCAGAAAACCCGCAAAAGCACGAGAGGATTTCATCTTCGGAACTCGTTGCTGGACTTGACGCAGCTGTTGTCCTGACTGATCTTCAGCCTGTGTGATCTCTGGCAACATGCACTATATATATATAGTGCATGTTGCCCGTGCATGGTCAAGGAAGTACTTTAAGTTAGAGTGGATTGACTTCCCTTCCCTACTTTTGAGGTCTTCTCAAGTCTTGTCGGAAGACAAGGATGACACGATGACTTTATGACCAATTCGGGTGACGCTTGAGTGAGGCAAAGCCCTAGTCCGCATAGTCGCCCCGGTGTTTGTCAAATAACGCGTTCAAAACGCAGTCGAGTTTCCAAAGTTTAACTCTTCCATCTTAGTTATGCCATTACTCATGTTATTCATTCATGCAACGTAACTTGCTGACTACCTCACGATCATGATCATCGACCACCTGAAGCTACTTGACCAAATTATGCTCAGTAATGCCAGGATTATCAAACAAGTAATCAAACTTACACTAATCGGCCGAAACACTTACACATGCTCCTTTAAGTGGAGATTCTTTCACTGTAAGTCATTGACTTCCTCCTGTCTTCTTTGGCGTTTTCTTGTCATGAAAAGACAAGTACAATATAATAATATTGTACTTGACGCTATGACGAAAATTAAGACTACGACCTTTAAATTCGTGGTCAGTGAGCCTCACTGACCTTGCTTTGGATATTAGAAAATGTATTTCAACTACATTGAAGGTTTTGAATAGCCATGCAGTCCCATACGATATAGTAAGACCTATGAAGAGGATCCACCGAGTCTTCCAATGACTTTAATGTCTCGAGGGAGAGAGATACGAAGTCGCTTATCTCTGAAAACGTGATTTTAAGCTAAATTGTGGGAATAATTATAAAGCGTGATGTCTTACTTCTAATGATATAGTCCAACAAACAATGACAACTGGTGACAGAGTGTGAAATCAGATAAAAGCTTGTATGTCGTTTGAGAAAAGCATTGAATCTTGGTACTGGATATGGTGGACCCGGTCGTTAAGAGATAGTCAGAAAATATCAGAGATGGCTGATTGTATGAAATTTGAGTATGGATAGTGATCCAATTTTTACCAAGCATTTGACTGATGGAGTAGTAGATATTTGGATTTGCAATATAATCGCTCATCTCATCACAGTATGCAGAGAAAGCAGTGAACAAATTTCACTGGCTTGTAGCATAGCAATTTCATCTCGAAAACAGCTCTATTCTGCATGATTTATTGCGAAAGCTACGATCATATCGATCAGTACCTGATTTGGAGCATGTTCCTTGAGGAGATATCCCCTTCAGTTTGCCAAATTGTGGGTCCAATAATCTTTGGGGCTTTAATTGACTAAACTGAGATCTATGGTATGTAATGTCTTCTTTTGAGTATTTTTGTATTACACTAAATTGTACTTGGAATGATAATAACTACTTTGCAACAGGTGTTATTTTCGAAATAGTTGTGCATTTGCCATTTCTATAGTAATAAATTATTATATATTTCCCTTGGTACATAAAATAGAACGTTAGAATTCTTCAAGTTCACGGGTCTATACAGTGTTTTTCATGTAATCTTTGAATTATATTGAATTTTTAAGACTTTACTATTTTTGTGAAAGATCACACAAAGTACTATCATATCGTAAAGTATAGAATGCTTTGAGTCCGTGAGGTCAAGACATTTACAAATAAGTTGACCTGTGGCTAAAAGTAAGGTATTGACTAAGGGCCGGACTGAACACATTGGCTGGCACCACAAAAGTCAAATTTTCCAAAGAAAACGTGATCGTATATTCTAGAAACTTATGGATCGTGATTCGGATGCCTTCCCTTCTTCAGGAAAAGTGTCCAAACCCTTGGGCTTTGTCTGATCTTTGCCTAGACGAACCGGAAGAACTCAAGGTCAAGGTCAGCAGTTTCATGTTTTTCCAAGACCACGGGTAATCTTTCTGGGTCGTGTAATGAATTAACATACGCGGCGGAAGGTCCTCGTCAACAGTGCTCATCCGATTGGGATCAGAGAAATTACTATCTACTGCAATAATGATCGAGATGAAGAGAATCAGATCTTCCTGTGACCAAAGTCAGCATCAAGTCTTCTACTCAAAAACCGCGAAAAAAACAAGCACACCTTTGCAGCAACAGCTTATAACTTTACACGAAAGGATTGAATATCACTTCACTTTGTGTTTCACTTGTACTTGCCAATCGAGATGTGAACCAAGGAACGTGGCATTGAACAAAGATCAAAAGGGCGAGAGTGACGATCGCATTGAAGAAACGTGGCAGTTCTCGTATTCTTAAGACGGACAGATATCATTCTAGAACGATATCTGTCCATCAACTACTGCCTTGAATGGAATGCGTACGCGTCGAGGGTCGGCTCCAGTTCAGATCTGCGAGGGGAAGAGAAAATGGTGTACTTCTTCAACATGCAACTCTGACTTGGACGAGATATGTTCTGTTGGAGCTCTTTCCATCATCATCATTGGGCGTTTGACTTCTAGTACCTCTCCTCTGTATCTCGTGTATGGATTCCGTTGTGTGGTGCTTTTCATCATGTATCCTGCCGGGCATTCTGGCTCGAACTTGACTTCAGCCCAGATTGATTGGCCTCGCAATGGCAGCATTTTCCAATGGTTAGGCAACCGTCCTATTTCCTACATTTGCTGAAAGGATGTGACTTCGCAATCGTGTATGAAACACGATGCTCTATCCAATGTGGAAAAAAACACTTCCGTTCTCCAGCATCCATCCCAAGTTACTTTTGAGGATGAGGATTCATGTCATGGGTACACAACTCATAGTACGAGACGAATCTTCTTCTATACGGAGCAAGGACATGATTATTCACGACCTTTGTTCTTAGCCAGTGCTCGAGATGTGAAGAAAGGGTAAGCTTACTGTGAGCGAATGTCCTAGATTTTGTACTAAATTTTTCCACAGTTCTATTGCATTACGTTATTGTATTTTGTTTGAATGTATATGTATGCATGTTTTGGTATGTTATATTCATTATCACATTGTAGAACCAATTCTTCGCGGCATATAGCTTTTTAGACTTTTGAAAACATTAAGATTTGGTTTTTGTAGTTTTTCTCTTCTTTCTATAAAGATTTTAAAAAAAATAAAAAAAAATTTTGAAAAAAAGTTTTTTATTTATTTTTAAATATTATATAAAAATAAGAAAATTCATAATAATGTACCTATTAAGAATATGTGTATTTTATTTTTAAAATAAAATTTACATACTCATAATTATATGCAAAAAAGATTAAGATTCCAACTCTTCGTGATCTATGGTTATATTCATTATCGAATATTAAATACTCTAATTCATTAAAAAAAATAAAACAAAATAATATATATAAATATTTTTTATAAAGCTTTGTGATTTATATACATAAGTGTAATATATGATTCAATCAGACGTTAAATAATAATAATATACATATAAATATTTTTTTAGATCTATGTTTTAATATTTTATTTTTTTTATATTCATTTTTCGTATAAAGAATAATATTTGTTGTATGTATCTATTTGGAACATATTGATTGAGATTTAAATAATAATAAATATATTAATGAAAATAAAATAAACTTTTAAATTAAATTATTAAAATTTTTAAAAAAATCAAAATAATAATTTAGATATTAGTTTCAATAACATGTTGTTATGTAAAAATAGATTATAGTAATTTATGATCTGTCCCGATCATAAATTATTCGAACAAAATTATTCATGGAATTATATTCTTATTTCGATTTATAATTATTATTATAAATTTAAAAAATTAAATAAGATTCATAGTAGAAAGAGTATAAAACTGACAGTGGATATAGAAGAAAAGAAACAATGAATAGGTTGGAAACGTTCACACAGAGAGTAGTAATGTTTAACAGACTGAACGCAAGCACAATGATCACATACAGGCTTCAATGGTCACGAGCGCATGCTCCGATATCACGCTGCAGGTCCGCCTCAGTTCTGGACAGCCCGACGACCTTGCACAGATTCGGAACGGACTGAAAATCGTATGGAAAGCAAAATTGTACTTAATACTCAAATCACGCCGAAGTGAACATACCTCCATGGGCAGCGATCAGATTCACAGCAATTCACAGCAAAGCAGTCGTGTCTTCTTCCTCGAAGAAGGCGGTTTGGCATGGCTCTGCACATGCGGTGGTCGTCTGCTGAGATCCGATCCGCTCACCTTAAACAACTTCTTCCATCATTGTCGACACTAGTAGCGGGTGGCGCGCATGTATCTGATGATTTGTAGCTATAACACTGAAAGTCGAGGGACCGAAGATTTCGCTGAAGATGAGTCTGCGACCGAGAGACCTTCTCCCACTCGCAAATGAGAACAATCTGCATTCGGTTTGTGTGGCCGATGAACGGAATCATGAATATACTTTGAAGAAGGGTACGGACTTCATGAGTGAAGTCTCTTTGCCTCTATGCTCTCTGTTCTGCTCTCTGCTTTTCCACTCATGTGCATCTCGATCATCCTAATCTCGACATAATTTTGTCACAAAGGCTCCGTTGGTATCCGATGTGTTGGATCCAACAAGACAGATTTCGATAGGGGTTCTACCTCGTTGTCAAACCTTTAGGCACACGAAGAACTCCTGAATCAGCAAGTAGGGATTGTGATTCCAAGTCCGCAGCCAAACCTAGATCATGTCATCCTTTTCAGCTAAAGCGTCGTCGCTGTGTCCTTCTTTTCCACCATTCTCAGGCAGACTGTGAATCAAAAGGACAGGCTTCTGTAGCCAGGTATGGATGCGTCTGGAATCTCATTCAGAGGCATCCATGCTCGAAGGAACATAGAAGGCAGTTTCAGGGACATAGATAACTTCAATACAAGCCAAAGAATTTGACAACGTAGTGAACATGAATCGATTCATCTTATTTAACAGATTGGACTGAGCTACAATCCAACATTTGGATTGGTTAAGATTCCTTTGGTTTGTGCCGACTGCAGTAGCTGTTGTTGGAATCATACAATAGCGTGGTCTCTCTCGACTCAGGTTCTTGTGTTTCGGTGTTCTCTGCGTGTGATATAATAAACACCAAGTGCAAAGGATAAGAACATGCTCGTTACAGATACTCCAAAATTACATGCCGAAATTACCGCCCGGCATACATGGCGGTCATTTCGGCATGACGTATGAGACGCATACGTCACGCATATATCACCTACTGCCACGCCGTCTCCATCACTATATAATGATGGAGACGTCGATCGAAAGGAGAACTCAGAGTGAGTTCTCTCCAGGCGTGGATAGCCCCAGCCCTTGGCCGCTCGGCTGAGGTCAGAGGTTTATAACGAGCTCGGACAGGCACTGGCCGAGCTCGTTATAACCCCTCGACCTCAGCCAGGTCACGGCCTCTCGTCTAATGTCGATCGAGGTCGGACAGTGGCTGTCTGTCAGCAGTTTCATGTTTTTCAGCAGCAGTTTCGAGACCACCGGTATTCTTTCTGGGTCGTGTAATGAATCAACGTACGCGACGGAAGCTCCTCGTCAACTGTGCTCATCCGATCCGGATCGGAGAAATTACTATCTACTGTAATAATGATCGAGAGGAAGAAAATCAGATCATCATTTGACCAAAGTCAGCATCAAGTCTTATCCCTAAAAACTGCGAAGATACAAGCACACCTTTGTAGCAGCAGCTTATAACTTTACACGAAAGGATTGAATTTCACTTCACTTTGTGTTTCACTTGTACTTGCCACTCGGAATGTGAACCAAGGAACGTGGCATTGAACAAAGATCAAAAGGGCGAGCGTGACTGTTGCATTGAAGAAACGTCCCAGTTCTTTGTATTCTTAAGACAGACTGGTGCCATTCTAGAATGATATCTGTCCATCGACTTCTGCCTTGAATGGGATGCGTACGCGTTGAGGGTCAGGTCCAGTTCAGATCTGCTAGGGCAAGAAAAAGTGTACTTCTTCAATATCCAACTCTGACTTGGACTAGCTACGTTCTGTTGAAGCTCTTTCCATCATCATCATTGGGAGTTTGACTTCTAGTACCTCTCCTCTGTATCTCGTGTGTGCATTCCGTTGCGTGGTGCTTTTCATCATGTGTGTTGCGGTTCCCGAGCATTCTGGCTCGAACTTGACCTCAGCCCAGACTGATTGGCCGCGCAATGTCATCACTTTCCAATGGCTAGGCAACCGTCCTCTTCACTACATTTGCTGAAAGGATGTGACATCGCAATCGTATATGAAACACGACAACGAATGGGGAAAAATAGAATTCTGTTTTCCAGCCTCATTCCCAAGTTACTTTTGAGGATGAGCGTACATGTCATGAGTTACACAACTCAAGAACGAGACGAATCTTCCTCTCTACGGAGCAAGGACATTATTATCCACGACCTCCGTTTTTAGCCAGTGCTCGAGATGTCAAGAAAGAGTAAACGTGCTGTGACCGAATGTCCATGGTTTGCACTAAATTTTGCCACTGTTCTATTGCATTACGTTACAATCTATTGTTTGAAATTATTGTTTTGGAATATAAAATTCATTTCCACATTGTACAACCAATTGTTCGATGTACATAGGTTTCTAGACTTTTGAAAAGATTGAGGTTTGGTCCTTGGTATAGTTTATTATCTTTCTTATAATATCGATTTAAAGGTATTGAATAATCATATTTTATTCTTTTTAATATAATTCATGAGAGTTCAGAGTAATGAACTAAGTTGAATTATTGTTATTTCATATGAAACATAAATAAATATTTATATATTCATAATAATTAATGCATACATTACATAAAAAAACTTATTGTAAAAAACACTGTTCTGTTTGGAATGTTTAGTTATGGTTTGATTTGACAATGATATACATATTCCGATGCAATATATATGTGCACAGCAAATTTCTAGCTATGTATCGTTAATCAAACCTATCTTGATTCAAGAGTGCGATGTTTTGAAAATCAATGTATATGGTGTGATCCATATAAATATCTTCTAGATGATTTATCTATTAAACCATTCATCCTATGAGACCTTGTACTTGCCATACTTACTGCTAATACCTTCTGTCCCTAGGAGGGGACAGAATCGAGACAATCTTCAAAGTAACTAGCGTGAGGACTTTATCTCCTATTTTCTAGCAATCAAACGTTCACATGCGTGATCAACTATAGGCAAAATGAACCTTAAAATAACTGCAATAAAAATGGTAATTTTAACTTAGAATATGGACAATCAAATTCGAATCTTAAGTCATAATTATTGATGTATCATCAGTCACAATTTGAGATAACATAAGATAGAATCACTTTCTAAACTTCCCTATCAGTCCAATGTATATAATATTGCAATGCCATGGTCTCACTCTGATATTAATTCGCAACACAACATAGTCAAAACTGTAGTTAAAAGGACTGCCTGATTATGGTGATACTCTTTTCCACCTTCTGGGAGTAAGCTTCTTTGAAAAGGAGAAAAGGACTAGACGTGGTTCACTTCAGAGCCTTCTGTAACCCTGGCCTGACAGGATGAGCGTCTCGTACATCATATCCAAGTTCGAAGTTCTTGTTTACTTGATAGCAAATAGTATAAAACTCTTTTCTTCCTTGAAGTCACTGGTTGTACGTGTCGTGTCAAGCTTGTATTTATCGAACGGAAATAGAGGCTTCATTGATCTTTACAGCAATACTATAGTAGGATGAGTATCTACCACGTACGTTCCTCATGCTAGTCTTCGAGTCCTTACAGGCCTAGCTAGCTTGTACTTCCTATCACGGCTGGTCTTCAACTCTATACTGTCTGCAGATCAAACTGCTGCCCATCAGTACGGTGTACTGTGCTACAATCTAATTAAAGACCGCAGCTAGTTGGTCTAAATATTCTCAGAATCCCACTAGTCCACCCCCACAAATCACTTATTCTCGGAAACAGTTCCTGCCCATAGAAAGTCGAAGTCAGCCCAAAACTCACTACGATAGAGATATGACATATAGAGGCTGTCGACACTTTGACAGATGTGGACAAAACAAGGTGAGACTTTTCGTTCTCTAGTGCTGTAATGACCTCTTTGTGAAATGATCAACCGAAGGGCTTCTGGCTTCGGCAGTCCAAGTTCTGCCCGGGGTCTACACCGAAGAGTGAGCAGAATTTTTGGTAGTACTGCACACGTCTGTCTGCTTCGGCCGAATTCTTGTTGCACTCGAGTCCGCCATTGATGATGTTGATCGTGACTCCGAAGCCTGGGCGTCTGTTGGCTGCGTTGTCAGCGGACGATGGGCTCCAGCTTCCCGTCATGACTGCGTGGCACGATGGTTTGTTCCATTGTTGTGTAGACCAAAACCAGATGGCTGTTTTGAAAGCTATGGTGGCATCTTGTATCACACGCTCTGGTTGTGCGAGAATGCCTTCGTTGATGGCAGCCCCGCATGCTCCATAGTTGTAGTTCCTGATCGAAAGAGGACAATTGGGCCATATTCAGCTCCCATTTATGCAGCAAGAAAGTTTTAAGATTATATTTACAGTTCTCTCGGATTCATCGTGCACACCACTACGTTTCCCATCATCCGGTTGCATCTTGCTTGAAATTTAGCAGCTGTACTAGGGGAACCATTGGTGACAATAACAGAATGCTTTTTGACAGTTGCCGACGATAGACTTACGGATGGTTTCCTATGCTTGTAAGTTCTAGAGAGATTCCCATGGCACTGATTTTGGAAGAGAATTCTCACCAAGACAGCTGCATCGGGCCTCGTCCATGATAGCTCTTGCCAGGAGCGCATCGATATGGGTTCTGGTTCTCAGTATCGCAGTAGTTGTTTGGGGGCTTCTGCTCTTCTATGAATACCAATCCTGTACATAGTTTAAGAATCAAACGCAGTCACTAGATAGCAGACCATGTGAGATACAATTTGACGACAAGAATAATGAAGTGAACATCGCAATTCAACTCTCTGGGTTTGGAAGAGAGATTCTGGTAGTAGTGTCAAATCGAGTGCACACTGGATGGAGATGCGACATGATGTACGAGGCCCATTGAGTTTCCATATAAGGTATTGCAGATCGCTCACCACCAGTTTCATGGTCGATGTGTGCCAGGAAAGCAGCAATCTCTTTCTTCCTCGTGTTAGTGTCGCCTGTGGTTCCAAAGCCTGCTGAAGAGAAGCTTTTGGCAGCATTGATGAGCGATTCGTAAGTATAGAATCTGTTCCTGTTGGGGAAGTTGTTTTCGAATACGGCTTTGGTGAGGATATCTCCCAGGGAACCTGCACCAGTACTGCCACTGCAGGGTCCACTTTGACATCCACTTCCACAGTAAGAATCTCCAAGCCCACACCATCCCCACTCACTGCAGCAGTTACCATCACCGCAGAGAGCGAAATTGGCCTGCTTACCACACTGTTCTGCTGCGCAATGTGCAGCCACAATGGTGAGGACCAACACCCCGACCACAGCTCTCGAAGCCATGTTTTCGTAACTCAATGCGAATCGAGGTCTCAGTACTAGTTATTGAGCTTAGATCCCTGAACTCCGTGTTCGTTCATCTTGGATATTTGCGAGTCCCTTTTATAGGCCTTGCGTGGGAAGTTCATCTGATCTTCCATGGGCCCCATGGAGGACCGCAAGCAAGATGCAGCCCAACAACTCGTTTGACCTCGGACGTTGTACGGGGAATTGTGTCATGGACTCAATGCCCGGTCTCACCAGTCAGGACATGGGCTGGTGCGAGGTGATGCGCATGCAGTGGATTGATTAGCATCGAGCGCAATCGCACCTCCTTTCCGGGACCGACTATGTCTTTACCGAATCACGAGCATCCACCGAGACGTAGATGCAACTGTCAATAGATTTCTGATTGCCTCTTGCGTCCATTTCCTGTCCACAAGATAAGCTTCTACAGTTTCCTTCTGTTCATTCTGTCCGAACTAGGAATTCGTAATTGAAATTGAAATTCTGAGACTCTGTCCTAAAGCCTGACCCTCATCCTGGGGATCTGATTTTGTGCCACGTGCATTTTGTATTGTATTTGTCCGGATCCACGGCCGCGGAAACTCGAAAGAAAAATCCACGAGTCGCCAAGCATGAAGAAAAAGGTTTCGAACTTTTGACCCTACAGAAATTCTGGAGCACGATTAGGCATCTGGTACATCTCTGATGGGATTCAGGACTCTTCTACACATCGCCGCATATCCTGTATTTGAATGGCTTGACCGTTATTCCTCCCGTTTACTTTTGTCAACAAAAGAAACTTATAGATTCTTCGGTCTCCTGGGAACAATGTCTGGATTAAATGTGATGTGCCAAAATAGTACAAAAGAAGTCCCTGAATTTCAGCAGTAAATATGAGCTTCTGTACTCGATCTGATACTGCACTTGCTTGCTACAATAATCGGGGTGACTCTGCCCATTATCGTCTTCATTCAGTAACATTTGGTACAGTACTGGTAACGGAAATGGTTTGCAGATGACTTCAATATCTTCATGTAGAGATGCTAATTTTTAGACGTCACAATTTCCCAAATGATATTAAGAGCACCTAGCAAATGATTTTTCCGATTTTTGCAAGAATATTTTCAAAAGATACTTATTTTTTATTTTTAAAACAAATATTTAGTTTTCTTTTAAACTTTTCGTGAATAGAAGTGCGAGAATCTAAAATTTAAAAAATGTTAATTGTGCAATCTATACTACATGTATATCATGTATTATATTTTAAAAGTATTTAAATTATCTTTACCTGAATAATATACAATGAAACACAACAGAAAAATCACTAGGTTATAGAATATTACATACTATCATAATTCTCATTATACTTTACATATTGTAAATTTCCTACAACATCTCATTCTGATGATAAATCTACTGGTGTTCGTTCCAGTTTCGTTCTTGTAATTCTTTTGAAAAATAATTTCTCTATCAATTTACCGCACCCTTTCTCTGTTCATGTAGTAAATCCACTTACGTATTTATGTATTTGTAGACAACAATCGAAAGTACTTAGAGAGTATATTCATCGTACCCTTGCAGCTCACTCGGGATCAATGACCAAACGCTCTTCACTGAGGACATATTCGCACTCGAATCGCACCTCTGAGTAGATCCAGAGGAATATGTCTCGAAGGCAATAACCGGATACTGGGCAGAATCCGTTCTGAAGAACCAGGACACATCTATATGGCTGTCGATCTTGATTGGAGGTGGTTCAGATCAGCGTGCAGTACGGGGTGATAGGTAGTGCAAAGTCTTCGCTGAGACTTTTCACATCGATTCCGGTCACATGCCTCGTTTGACTGTGACCAGACGCATCAGCATCTCACCTCAACCCGCAATCGATTCTTAATTGCGAACAAAAAGTGATGACTTCAGAGTCGATGCACACCTCGAGGAGGCGAATGATCTACTGTACGTCTTGTTCATGATGTAGGCATGGAGTCACTTGAAGTCACTCCAAGGTACCGAACCTGATGTTCGAATATGCTCCCGATCAGTTCTAATGCGGCTGAATCTGCTGTAATGGTCACCCCTTTGGGATACTTTAACGAGTCTTTTCCGACACACGGATAAGACAGCCTGCCATAGCTGCTCTCATAAGATTCACGTGGCCATCAGTGCGAGCATACAGAGAACATCTGTAGTCTTCCCTGATTCGGATATTCAGAGATGTACACGTAATGAAGGCATTATCAAAAGTAGCCTTGCCATGTTGGTTCAGTTCATGGTGGCCAAGTCATGTGTCAAAGGCACGCTAAGAAACCGAGGCTCAGTTGAATATAAAATGAGAATGATCATGAACAGGAAGATCAAGGCTAGATACATAGACCGCCATGCAAGTCCAAGGAATTCTGGAGGACCAACTAGATGAATAGCTGGTGTCTTAGTACTGCCTAGAGAGCCCAGGTCTAGGCTCAATGGTTGTTGGGTAGAGAGTGCCATGGGGAGAGGTTTGTTTTGATGGTCTATGTAACGTGTTACTGCATTATAAAGGATGTGTGTGTGGTGGGCTATGCTGCCAGAAGGCTGGGAAGCCAAATATCAGAAATGGATTTAAGGGAGTGGAGAGGGAAGAGAATGTGAGACAACAAAGGGAAGGGAGACAGCGACAAACTGAGTCGTGTGACCCGAGGAGTACATGACAAGGAGCACCACCAACTGTGTGGCGTGGAAGGCAGATGACGGTAAGTGACACAAATTTTTTTATCCTCATATCGCCTAGAAAATCAAACACATTGTTTGATTTGCTACATATTATGGAGATGAGGTAGTGTGCAATTAATATGGTGGGGACAGCTTACTTACCAATATTTTATGGCTACATCTAGCGGTATGCAAGGAACTTACACGAGAATTCTCGTCTATGTAACACAACGAGCTGTCTTGTGTTTAATTCCAAATGACAACATATCGATTTAGGAATTGAGGAGTGTCTGCCATTTTGCAAAGAGTGAAGTGAGCCAAAAGTGGGATGAATATACCTGGATCGAGTGAAGAATGACAAAGAATTACAATCTAAAGTTTTGCTTTTGTTTTTTGTTCATTCATAAGTGATACTGTAGATTACAAAGCACTGGTGAGATTACATTCAAACTCTCAATATGAGAGATGTATGGAAATTATCTATTCATCAGTACATAGATTTTCTCAAAAGTTACATGCAGAAATGATTTCAACTCCATCTATCCAAGTCACTACTGACAATGATATATATTGCTAACAATTCAAATCAGTTTCTATCAAACGTATAGATTTTTTTTGGTTAATTTATTGATAATTTATTATAAGTCAACTTGTTATCACATATTTTTTTGCTATAAGATTTATATTTTAATTCTACTTAATTCTATTTCAGATATTAACATTAAAGATATGTGTTTAGTTTCAGTCTCATGTATATTTTAAATTAACAGTTTAAATTTTTTTCATCTTTGGATAGATAGATGTAATGGCTTTCCCAAGATAAAAGGTTTGTTACGAATTCAAACTCATGATTTTGATGGAAATATCATGGTTAAGAAGAGCAGGTCGTAATGTTATTATTGGATATCTACCTATGTACAACAATCTAATACAGACGCAATCAATGTCATAAAACTTACAGTGCAATGAGTGGCAGATGTTTTAAGTCAATATGGATCAATAGCTACTGTTTTCTCCTAGAAAGGTTACTAAAGTGCTAAAGTCACACCCAGCCTCATCTTCATGTAGCGCATGTATGCGTTTTGTGTAACATCGGCAGTCAATTTATACATCCGCTAATAAAGATGGTTTAGCAACAAGATTATATTGCTGAAAGACAATGTAAGATTCACATTTTCTATTGAGGACACATTCTTCAAAGAATCAGTACCCAATTATATAACTACAAAAATAGAAATACCCCTTCAACCCCTGGAATAATCGACCTTCACTTCATATAACATGGTAGTTACTCGTGATTGGTATACGATGTATAACACTGCAAAGTCTTGGTGAGAGTGAATAAATTGACTCCATGTATACATGGAGTCTTCGTTCGAAGAACAAGCTTAGTCTTTCGACAAAGAGGTGGAATCTTCACTAGTCGAAGGGCTTCCTCTCTTGTTAGCCTTGGAGTGTGGGTTTTTCTGAAATTTTTGCGCTCCATGCTGCTTCAATTAGGCTAGACATAATGACCAGCTCTCGCTCTTTCTCATGATCACTCTAAACCTTCATGTTAACTCTGTATCACAAATGCTAGAGAAACATGAAAGATTCTGTACCCCTTCCTATAATTTCTTGAAATAAATCAATATTTAAATAATATCCTAATTGAAATGGGTTGTTTCTTGACGTGCATGGTTCTAGAACCTTCCAGAGGAACTAGATTTTAGTCCCTTGCAGATAGGTTTGATGGCGATGTACAATAGTTGTATGGATAAATCTAATGATGGTGCTAAATCAGTCACGGAAATGATTGGGTTTGGGAATTATCAAACTTATATACTGCAAAAAACTTTGAAGTTTCTAAGTTTCAATTTCGTAACTTGACTTCTTCGATTCTTCCATTCGTCTATCGTGATTTCCACTGTGCAAGCATGTTCTCAGTTTCCATGCTAGTGTGATTCTATTGGTAACGAAGACATCTTTAGAGGCCATTGAGCTCGCATGGATCAAGTCTAACAGCCTGTCCTCGCCAACCAAAAATACCATCTACTTAACACAAGTCTCAGACAAACACATTGTATTGCAAACACAGCGCAGTATCTCAGACGAACCTCATTCAGGAATTGTTGAATTGGTTTGCTGATGGGTGGAAACTCAGACTGTAGCAACGAATAAATATCAAAATGGAGTATAATGGTATAGATCTGATCCCACGAGGATAAATCTCACTTTCCATGCTAGTGTGATTCTTTTGCTAATGAAGACATCTTTAGAGGCCATTGAGCTCGCATTGATCAAGTCTAACAGCTTGTCCTCGCCAACCAAAATACCATCTACTTAACACAAGTCTCCGACAAACACATTGTTTGCAAACACAACGCAGTATCTCAGACGAACCTCATTCAGGAAT